AATGTAATGAGACATTACCCATTACATCAGTGAAAAATGATGATTTTTTATAGGACATTTTACACCAAATCTGATAGTTTGGAAAATGTTGATTTTCGATTTGTTTTATTTTTCGATATTTTTAAGTACCCATTAAAAATCCCTTTCTGGTAAAGTTTGATATTTTTTGATTACTTGTTCAAAAGATATCAAATTTTCATTTTTTGTTTTTTGCTGGTAATTTTTTTAATAATGGTCCGAAATTAAATTTTTATTTCTTAAAATTTTCCTGTAGATATTAAAATTATCCAATTTTAAAATTTTAATTTTCAAACTGTTGGTATTCTTCAATTTGCTTGCAAATTTTTTACGTTAACTTCTACCCACTCAAGAAATTTTAAGCCGGAATTGATAGTGGGATTATAATAATTAGGTGAGAAATAGACCTAAACTCAAAAAAGTATTGAATCCGCGATGGTATATATGAACGAATAATTAATTTTGAACGTATGTTACTGGTAAAAAACCAATTCAAAACAAAAATTGAAAAAATGTGTCATGCAACAAAAATATCCGGTTAAACCGGAAGTGATATCAACTTTGGGTTTTCAAATAAAACCATATAAATATTATTGCATTTTTAAATTTCACGTAAAATTTAGAAATAATATTTTTTTTTATTTTTAACAGTTTTTAAGATATTTGATTTTTTTCAAAATCGTTGACAGATGGATGGTCTATTACCACTAATTGTAATGTTAAAAATTTAATTACTACCAAACAATTTTTACATCATTTGTCACAAAATAATGTTTTTTATTGAAATGCTGCAGCATTCCCTATACCTAAAATGAATATTTACAGAGAAATTACAAAAACTGTAAAAAAACGCTTATTTTTTTATTTGTAAAATCAGTAGTGATTGTTGAATTGTCTTTTATTTTGTAATTATAAAGTAATGTAAATGTCAATGTCTCTGACAATTGTGTTACAATGGGTGATAATAATTACACTAATCAAGATATTCTAATAGTTATTTATGTATTAAGGGCATAATAAGGTTTTTATGGTCCGAGGCGCTATTTCGAGCCCGAGCGCGTTAGCGCGAGGGCTAGAAAAGCGTCGTAGGACCATAAAAACCAGTTATGCCAGCAATGCATACAAAACTTTATGCACGATTAATATATTATTATTTTTAATATATTATTGTTTTTAAAGACGTTTACGTCAAAGAATTTTTGTTATAATTGCAGTGGCGGCTGGTAGATTTTAAGTATACCAATATCTCAGTTATTAGACATGGGACCCACACCAAATTTATAATAGTTTATATTGACATTAAATAAACAAGTTCGGCGCAAACAGAATTTAAATTGAAGTTTGCGAAAAAAAGTTAGTTTTTCCTGTCGCCTACCCTGCCTCCAGCCCCCCCTATTTGAGATAATTCAAATTAAAGTGGTGCAATTTATTATCTACTATAATTTATCGAAAAATTTAAAATTTTATTCAAAAAATCCAAATATTACAGATTTTATTCGATTTTAAATTTTTATTATTTATTTTATTAAAATAAAAAAATATTTAAAATGGTATAAAAACTGTAATATTTGGATTTTTTAAATAAAATTTTAAATTTGTCGATAAATTATAGTAGATAATAAATTGCACCACTTTAATTTGAATTATCTCAAATAGGGGGGCCTGGAGGCAGGGTAGGCGACAGGAAAAACTAACTTTTTTTCGCAAACTTCAATTTAAATTCTGTTTGCGCCGAACTTGTTTATTTAATGTCAATATAAACTATTATAAATTTGGTGTGGGTCCCATGTCTAATAACTGAGATATTGGTATACTTAAAATCCACCAGCCGCCACTGTATAATTGTCATATTATAATGTCAACTGACATCAGTCAGTTTTAAAGTTTAAAGATAAATGAAATTGAGGAAGCAGCTGAAAAGGCGAAAAATTGCGGCCTGCTGGCGGTAAAATCAAAATCTTTATACGAAAAAACTTACTTCGAATATATCAAATGGTGTAACATTGTTGTTTTTAATTTTTGACGTTTCATTATAGCCCGCTGGGCCATAATAACGCCCGCGGGCTATAAAAAGACGTTTACGTCAAAGAATTTTTGTTATAATTGTCATATTATTATGTCATCGTGCATAAACATGTTTTATACATATGGCGAGTGCGGAAAAGTTTTAGAAAGGACAATAAAAACTTTTAAACCTTTTTAAAAATCAAGAAACAGTTTTTTACTTATACTAGGATAGAGATGTAAAAAAAATTTTTTTCAGATTTGAAAAAAAAACATGAAAAAAAAACTTTTTTTTTTCAAATCCGCTACAATAAAGCATATTCTGTCAATAAATAACACATCAATTTTAAAAAAATGGAGTATTTTTTCAAAATGAAATTCGGAGTAAAATGTGTATGTAAATTATTAATAAAATGAAATGTAGAATATATTTTTCATTATTGAAAATTTTGACTGAGACTAAAAAATCTGATTTCTTATTATTTGGTAGTTTCCACATAAGAAACCAATAACAATGTAAAACTTCTACACTAATGAATTAAAGGATAAAAAAGCTTGAAGTTTCTAGACTTTAGATTTTTAGATGAATATGAAAAAGTATTGTGCAACACTCAATCCTAACGATTACCGTAATAAAAAAATAACGAAATTTTTTTGGCTTTCTTTTTTGGTCCACAGACTTTGAAAAAACAATACTATGTTTACAAAGTGAAATTTTTAAAAATATTTAAGAAATTTTAAATACGTAATCAATAAGAATTTATTCCCAAAAATGATATGCATGACCAAAGCCCATTAGAAAACCATAAGATCTTACTAGTGTTATTACCGAGTTATTACAAGTTATTACATCTTGACTTGGGTAATTCAAACCTCCCCTTGATTTTTGTCAAATTAATTAGTCCATAAAGTCCTCCTTATTGCCATACAATTAAGAAATTAAATGTTCACATTGCAATGTTATTCCTTATTTAAATGCTAGAAGCATTATGCTACAAATCCTGAAACGTATATAATACCTTGCTGAGTGGCTAGTCTCTCGTTTTGTTTAAAAAAATTAATATGTTGCCTTCTGAGTTTATTGCCCAGGTAAAGCCCCTCTTGTTCTTGTAATTTATTATTATTTTTTAAATAATTAAAATCTATATGGTCTCCATTTATATCTATAAATGTATGTATTATATCAAATCATTCTCTAATTAATTTTACCATATGTACTGGCTCAGGCAAAAAAAGAATTTAGAATTATCAAATATAAACAGCATTGTTTTGTACTTTTTTATGACAAGAATTTATTATTTCCAAAGTTATTTTAATAAAAAATATATAATTTTTTAATGGTTTATTATATAAAAATAAATGTTTCTCACATCAAAATAAATATTTCTTCTATTATATTTTTAGTATCTTACTATAATAGGTATTATAATCCCAAAATAAATAAAACTACATCTCAAAAATTTTCAGTCAAACTGAATAAAACAACATACTATTTTTTTTTGCTTTTTTGAGACCCATATTAATCATTGTTTGAGCCTCCAATATTTCAGATTTTTTAAGAGTAGTCTTATTGTTAAGGTACTTCGATAATTTATTTCCTTCAGAAATAAGATTTCTTGCTATTTTTAACTCTGCTTCCTTCCTTGCCAAACTACTATCAATTTATTCAAGTCCTTCTTTGTGTTTGCGCTTTCTGCCTTTCATTTATAAAGTAATATAGTAGAAAATAACTTTACTATTCTCATTATTTATTTCAAATTTTAAAATTCATCTCTAAGGCCCGGATTTTTAGGTCATAAAAAAGTGATAAAAGGTTCCTAAATTAGGTGATATTTTTAATAAAATAGGTTATTATTTTAGGTACCTATATTTTAGGTACTTAATTAAAAAGTTAATATTGGTTGACCCGTATTTTTAGGTTATAAAAAAGTTAAAAAAATGAAAAAAATAGGTCACATAGTTATAAAGTTAGGTTATTATTTTAGGTGCCTACATTTTAGGTACCAAAAAAAATAAGCTGATTTATTGAAATCAAATGTTTTCATTATAATGTCGATATCGTTGTAAAACCTTACATAGGTCTTATGTAGTTTTAGTTACATTATAATTGCTCTGTTAATGTCCGGCAATAAAGGATTAAAATTAAAAATGAAATAGTTATTAAAATAATATTTATTATTAACATTAACTCAACAAAAATGTTTGGTTGGAAAAATAACAAATAAAATAAAAGATTCTTTAAAAAAGTAAATATATCATATCACAAATAATGTAAAATTGCAAAAAAAAAACATAATAGGAACTCTAAAATTACAAAAAAAAAAACAAAATAGGAACTCTAAAATCAGAAAAAAAAATTTTTTTATTAATTTATTTAACGATTATATGCATGACAGACAAAATATTTCTCCAAGTTTTCAGAAGTAAAGCTAGTGCGTTTATCAGTCAAAACATTTTTAGAGAGAATGATCGTTCAACGTCACAGGACGGGTAAAAAAGGTTCATTTTAGGTATTAAAAATACAATTTAGGTGCAAAAAAGGAAAATAGGTGAAAAAAATATAAAAAAGGTATTTTAGGTCAAATAAAACTTAGTCAGATGACTCCATTTTTTATAAAACGGGCAAATACAAAAAAATATCTTTAAAACCTAAAAAACCAACAAAAGGTGTTTTACCTAAAATCCGGGCCTTATTCATCTCCTAACCTAACTTAATAAGTCTTCTTCTTCTTCCTTTCTAGTATGAAGTTCATACGTCAACAAGCAAGGCCGTATTCAAAACATTTTATTGCGTTTTATTCTACAGGATCGGCTTTAAATTTTATTTTACACAATTTTCATTTTATAAAAAAAGAGCAAACGTGCGAAAATTGTTAAAAAATAATTAAATTTTATGATTTCCATGACAAAATATGGTATTTAGGTAAAAAAGGTGTTACTGCAAAAGCCCTAAATGTTTGTTCGAACTTTTTTCTTACCTTTTTTGTTTTTTGAAACAGCCCTTGAACAATGTCTTTATTTGAATCCAAATGTTCTATATTTCCAGGCTCTTCTAACATTTTATTCTTTTTCCTTAATTCAGCGGTCATAGACTTTAAGAAAATAATTTGTTTCTTCTGTCGCCATACATCCTTCTGTAGATTTCGTATTTTGTGACTTTTTAAAATATCCTTTTGATGTAATTCCTTAATTTTACTCCTCAAGATTTCTTTACAAGGAGTGTCTTCTGGCATTTTATCCAAAGATAAGGAAGGTTTAACTGGAGTGGGTGAGGGTGTGAGAGGAGGTGTCACAGAAGGTCCAGGTAGAGTCACTATATCATCGTTAATTTTTTTTTTAAATTGCTCTGGTTCCCTTTCCTAAAATTAAAAAATAATAATCATAATTTCATATAATATAATAAAAATAATATATATATTGCTTAATTTGTCATTATGTGCATTAAAAACAAAAAAAAATTCGTTCATTAATAATTTTTAGAAAAAGCAATATTATATCAAGATGCTTGTAGATTTTGAAAAAAATATTGTTCACTTACATATTTTAAGCGTTCAACTTCAATTGTAGGAAGGGCATTTGGTAATAGTCTGACCTTCAGCTGAGATGTTCGATCAAAGAATTCTTCAGCAAAATGATGTGAACACAGGACACTTGAGAGTTTTGGTGTAAAACCTGGTTTGTTCACAAAGTTAATCCAGGCTTTTCTTTTACCACTTTCTTTCGGAAACCTAATATGTCATATTAGTATTTAAACTCAACTTTTTAGTTTTTTTACTTAAAAATTATTATTTGACCTTAAATGATGTTCACTATGTAAAATTAATTATTTTAAAATGTAACAATTTATATATATATCACATTTATGTTATATACTCGTATATATATGAGGACCCTAGAAGCCAAAGTTTACAAGTGACATTATAAAAAATCTGTGGTTATGTACAAAAAAAGATTGTAAATGGTACATTTTACTTGGTATCCAAGGGATATAACTAAATTCTAAGCTTAGACATCTTAAAAAACAATGTCATAAAACAACAAACAATTTTGACTCCAAATTACAAGTGTTTTTTAACTTTAAACATGATTATCTCAGAAATAAACACAATATACTTGTACCCCTTGGCTTCTAGGGTCCTCATATATAATATATAATTATATATATACCTAACATACATGTTAACAAAAAAACTACTACCTTTTCTTGAGAAAAACTAATAAAACACATTAGTAGACACTTAAAGCATTGAGTCAATGCTTAAAGTTTAATTTTTATAAAAATTATGTTTATTCGCAATTTGAAAAAATTTAAAAAATAAATTATCAGGTTAGTGTCAGAAAATATGATACGCACATGGTGCGATGATACGCCTATGGTCACGTTATTTGATCTTTATTTATGTTCAATATATACCTACAACTAATTATTCTAAAATTTACGCCTTTAACGTAATAAAAATACTCACCTATGAAATGTAATTTTATATTTATTTTTTGTGCTCAAGGAGCAACCACAAGCTGAACAACTAACCATAATTTACTCCTAAACTTTAATAAACGATAATATATTACTTACAATATTGTCTAGAAACAATGGAAGTGCTAATAAAGCGTATATACTTTTATTTAAGCTTAATTTCAACAGTAAAACAACATAAACATTCAACAACCACAAATAAGGCATCACAAATGAGTCATAATTTGTAGCTTGCAAATGGCCGACTTCCGTCGTAAGTTTAGTTTAGTCCGCCCAATGAATGACAAGACTCCTTCCTGTTGTTTTCTCTTCTAAAGACAAACAAAAATACCTCAAAATGCTCCCCAATTCCCAAATTACCTAAATCAAGGTAATTTTTTTTTTAATTAATTTATAGTATCTAGCCTATTTCTGTCAAATTTGCGCATGCTGTTCGTTCAAAAGTTTGTCTCTGCTACCAAATATCTTCGACATGTTCCTTGGATATACAGGGAAAGACATTTATGAAACGTTATATAAAAAAATATAACATACCTAATGGCCTTAAAGATATCTTTTAAAAAGGACTATTTTTTCGCCACTTTTTAACCAAAGATTTTACACACAACAGGATGGTTTGTTCTATGGTCCAATCATAATCATATGAATATTCCGTTTGAGATTGATCTTCCGTTGTTAAAAGCGTTTGTTAAGTTATTTCTGTAACAATAAAATAATACCAGTAGAATTTATTGGTGTGTTTAAAGTTATACTGGACTAATTAAAGTGTTTTAAGTACCTGTATTTTAATTTAAGGTTTGTATACAAAAATGTTTCTTTTAATAGTTGACGCCATGACAGGCAGGTCCGTAATGTATTATTATTAAATGTTCTTTATATTTCCATGATGTAGGTAGGTATTTAACAGTTAATTTTGTTATATATATGATATTTATTATAATTTTAATTATTTTTATGTTATAAGTATTTATTATTATTAATTATAATTAATAACTAATATCATTTATACATTATTATTAAATTAAAATATATATTATAAAATGTATTATCATTAGGTATATTTTAATTTAATAATAATAATTTATATTTTTTTCATAATTTTATATTTTTAGGTTTATGATACAAAAATAATTATTTAATACATAGTATATGCAGTAAAAAATTTATTATGAATAAATTTAAAAATATAAAATTATTTATTTAAATATACCTAAATAATATTTTAAAACATAATAATAGCATATTACAAAATACCTATACAAAAGACCTTTGTTGCCAAATCCCCGGGTTTCATTCTTCATACCTTTTCAAAAGGGTCCAACTTGCAACCATGGTTTCTTCAACGTTAAGGGAGAAATTTCTCCCTTAACGTTGTTAATGGTTAATGGCTAAAACGCTGCAATAATTCCAAAATATTTAATTGCAAATCGCATTATGTACCTATGTTCTAAACATTTTAATCCCAATGATTATGAAAGAGATTTGAAAAATGAGGTTTGTACATTAATTATTTTTTTAAATGTACTTAATTAAAGGAGCAACCTCCCATCTTTTTACTACCCTTGCGGCCTTGAGTTTACGGTTTATTCACCGTGAATTCACTGTGAATTCACGCACTTTTCACAGTATTTTAATTGTGAATCCACCGTATTTTAGCGGTATATTCACGGTGAATTCACAGTGAATTCACGGTAAATAATCCAATAATAATAACACAATCGACTATAGCTAGCCATTATTCGTTACTGAGCAGATGAGGATGGAGATGGGGACTTCAAACAATTAATGTTCAGCTATGCCATTACAGACGCACACTTCCAACTAAATATTGCAACCCAACGCTATTTATAGTTAGCTCGCTTGCCTAAGCAGCCGTGAGATGTATTGCTTAAACCGCTTAACACAGAAATCGACTAATAAAAAAACTGCTAATAAATGGCGTCCAACTTGTTGTTTTTTCTTTATGATGGCGTCTCAACCTCGTTAATTTTGCGCAGCTACACGAGAGCTCTCTTGCGATATTTGTATTGTATTGGGAATAACCAATTAGCAGATTGTTCGAATCTTACACTTACAATTTGCGGTGTTTTCACACTCAATTTACGGTGTTTTCACAGTAAACTCACAGCGCTTTTACGGTGAATTCACGGTGATTTCACGATAAATTTACGGTACTTTCACAGTGAATTTGCGGTGATTTTGCAAACTTGAGTTCACCGTGAATTTACCGTGAAATCACCGTGAATTCACCGTGAAATCACCGTGAATTTATCGCAAAAACAGCGTGAGTTCACCGTTTAATTACCGTCTACAAATGTCACAAATGGACGGTTTATTCACTGCACATAAACGGTGTATTCACGGTGAATTCACGCAAACGGTGAATTCACGGTGAATTCACCGTAAACTCAAGGCCGCAAGGGTAGGCTTAAATTCTAAATAAAACAGCTGTCCCCAATTTAAACTTACCTGAATGTAGAATTTTAGGGGAGGATAAACCAAAAAGAGGCCCTTTAAAGGTAAGCAAAGGTAACAAACCAAGTAAAAGCTCATATTGAAAAAGAAGATAATGACATTAATGTAGAAATAAGTGAAATTTTAGTAAAAACATCACATAACTTACCCAACAATAAATAATTTAACACATGAGTTACAAGTAAGTAAGAAATAATTATTGCAATATAAAACTATGTATAATAAACAGCTTGGTGAAAATAATGTACTAAAAAAACAAAATGACAATCTTAAAAAACTTGTTGCTTACAACAAAAAGAAGGATTTTTCCAAATTTGACAAATTTGATGCTACCGAAAAAATATACTTAAGTATACCTACCTATAGGTACCTACCAAAAACCAAATAAATTTGATCCTTTCAAAGAAAAAGAGGGTAAATTGGACAAGGGAAGGATTGCAATTTTATTTACTTTAAGATACCTGGGCAAAAAGTGCTTTGTTTATTTAAGAAACATGTTAAATTTGGCAGGTTTATCAACTTTAAGAAGGAGGGCTTTAAAAATTTCGGTTTCAAGAGGAATTTTGGATGATATATCCTTGCCTTTATGAAAATTTCTGGAGAAAATATGGATACTTTTAAAAATTACTGTTTTGCAGTTTGACAAACAATTTTTAACACCATTCATATAAAATAAACTTATTTTTTACTATGGGATCCACTCTGATCTCCCGAAATTTCTGGTGCACCCTGTATAATATATAAATATAAATAAAGCTTTAAACGAGTTTTACTAAATTTTTATTTAATTTATCCAATGCTTAAGCTTACAGGGCCACATGAAGTATGTTTTTATTTTAGAATTTTTATAGATTGCTTGTGTTAAATACATATTAGCTGTATACTATTTAACATGGTTTCTCTTAAAAACCACACTTATTTTTATAATAAATCAAACCCTCGTTCTACTGCAAAATTTACAAAAATGTACTTAGAATTCTCTGAAACTCACGCTACGATATTTAAAGTGAAATAAAGTTTATTATTCGTGTGTTTGTGTCATTTTCTTTTAAAATTGACAAGTTTTAATAATAAATTTATTAATAAAATATTTCAAGCCGGACCTGTTCCCAATTTGACAGTTCGAGATTTCCGACCAATTAGATCATGGAGCCTACACCAGGAGCCTGAATGGGTGCCTGTTTACCATTTCGCATCATTCATATTTGAGCAGTTGAGCTGTTAAGATATATGTTTATGTAAAATTCTTTGTACAATATGGGTAAATGTGTTGTTACAGTGTGTCCTAGTCGTAGTGAAACTAGTTCCATCTTAAATAAACCAATTTCCTTTTTCCAGTAAGTAGTAATTACGAGTTAAATTTTAAGCTATTTAATTAATTTGCATGTCAATACCTTGCGTGCGCACACAGATATTGTGTTGTCCTCTCATTTGCACAGAGCCGTACCAGTCTGGAGCGTAAAAGTAGATAAATTTATTTGCTAATCTACTATGAATTTTTTAAATTAAATATAATATTAGATATAATACTTTTTCGCTTTTAGTAGAAATTTATTCCAATTGGATTTATAAAGTTTTAGTGAAATTCGTCTGTTTTGTTCAGTTTTTTATTTTAAAATTGATTAAGTTTAATTTTTTTTTTCATTTTAAGAGCTTAATTTGCCTTCTTTTTAATTAGCGAATTTATAACCCAAGCAACAATTTAAGTATTTGTTAAATATATGGGACTATTGAAGAAACTAAAGTGTTTTGCGACAGTCGCCGGTCTCTTTATATTATTCTTTCATTACTAAGTTACGACTAAAGTGGAGAACAATTATTAAGTTCCAAAAAGGTAGCAAATATGTCACTAGCTATAAACCCTGCTACTATTTGGAACGTAGCTGCTACATTACTAGAACGTTTCAATATCGTTGCTAGAGCGTTATAATTACTTTTATTTATTTGTTTTTAGTTGTATATTAACTGTCTTTGTCAAACTTATATTAGATTATACTATCCCTCCTTTTTTAAATGGAATCACCACAGACTTGGCTTTTCAATGTCGTCGTTTATTAAATATGTACTGGTAGTTTATAACTTCCAGAATAACAATATACTTAATGTATAATTAGGCAGGTAAATTTATAAACCCTTTAAATTTTACTGTTGAACTTATGAATTTAGTTTTTGTAAAATAAATGCGCTTCATCAATATTTAAGTATAAACATATTATTTATTTAATAATGTTTATAAATAAAAAAATCTTAATATTTTTTATTAATATTTAATTTAATTATTTATACCGTCTATTACCAACAAAATTACTATTTATTAAAAAGTAAACATCAATTTACAAACAATTAAAATAATTTATTATTTACATTACCACGTGGTACTGTACAGTAAAAACTGGCCGATAAGAAGCATTTTCCTTTGAAGTAGTTTTCGCTACTTTAAAGTTTTTGTCCACCTTCAAGGTTGGCAAATATCATGGTATTTATATAAATATCAAAATATCAGATATATATCCGATATATATCAAGTTTTGATATTTATTTTTTTAAATAATTTGTTTATCTAAGAATGTTTATAGTAGGTACTATTAGTAGCCAAATAAAATTTACGAATTTGTGATATTATAACAAGAAAACTAACACATTTATAACAACTTTATTATAGGTAAATTATCATCGGATTCGTCAGATTCGATAGAAGGTCCCGTTAATTCTTGTGTTTTTAAATTCTCCCAAATCCAACCCATATTTTTATTTTTTTTGACTGATTTTTGTATTTAAATAAAAACGTCAATTTTCCAGCTTTTTCGTTTCCAAGCCTATTACGTAGTTTCGATTGCACAAGTCCAAATGATGAAAACATTCTTTCAAGAGATGCGGTAGCCGCAATTGCAGTAAGCAGCTGTTCACATAGAGATAGAAAGCCTTGTTTATTTGGCCAAGTTGTATCATCAATAATAATTCCTTTCCACCACATCATAGGTGATGTATTTCTAAACTGAGGCCCAAATACATATTTTGGAAATGGTGTAGATTCAGCTAAAAGCGCCATTACAAAAGGAATGAAATCCGGATTAATTTTATTTAAATAAGTAAATGCTTGTTCTCTTTGGTGGTTATTTAAACATTTACCCAAAAATCGATGGTCGAGCATATTAGCTAGATAATGTGGTGCATCTAAAGCCATATCTTTTCTTCGATAAAAATGTTTTTTAATTTTTTTTAAATATCATGATATATATCAAGATATAAATATCATGATATATATCAATGATATATATCGGATATATATCATGCCAACCCTGTCCACCTTAATTTACTTTACGGTAGTTTTTGTTAGTACCATAAACTTTCCAAATACTAAAATAATAACTTTTAAGTTACTAACTTTGTAGTTTTTAACTCACGTTGTAGATCCGAGATTTTAACTTGCAAAGGGACTACAAAGTAAAAATAATTATATGTAATCTTTAGCAACCGAAAGTAACTGCTACAAATTAAATTTCCTTAATATTTTTTTTTACTTATAACACCTTTTTTAAAGTTGCAAATTCTTCTTGGGGCAACCAAGTTTTACTTAAATGTTTTTTACTTTATAGTAACCATTTAAAGAAAGAATAAAGTTTCTGTTACAAAATATTGCTATTTAAAAGTTAGAATTACTTTTAAGTAAAAATTAAAGTAACTGTTTAGTATTAACTAATTTAAAGTTATCACCACTTTTGTAATGGGTTTTGGAACCAAAAATGCTGCTTGGGAATTTTATATAATATAAAATAATTTTTATCAAGGCTTACATTAAAACTAGTTTAAATAACTACCTACATACATTATTTAATTATTATTACGTTTTTTCGTGTTTGAAATCTAGTACGATTTTTTTACCCTGAAAAAAGATCAACAGGTTTTTGGGCTATTAATCTATGGGCTCATTTTAGTGAAAAATCGACTGCATGCATATGGCTCAGACTAAAATATACACATTAAATTTTTTTATAAAAAATCGATCAACTTTACAAAATGAGTATGACAACTAAAAAATAGTGCTCTTACCACAGTGTTATTTTTTAGTTTTCCTAAAAATCCAGTAAGAAAAGCACAGTGGGTCAAAACCATCAATAGAGATCCTCAATGGATACCTGCCACAGGCAGTCGCATTTGCTCGTTACATTTTGACGAAAAATATGTTATTCTTAATACAAGAGGTTATCGGCATTTAAGTCCTGACGCTATTCCAACAATAAATTTAACAAAACAGGTAAGTTAATAATTACGACTTAAATGTTTTTTTTACCTTCGCCGTTTTTAGATGTTTCATGACAAATCAACTCAAACAACAGAGGTAATTTCTCCTTCACCATTTATTGTAGTAGGATCTTCTCTACCCACCACATCCCAATCTTTTGATGAAAAAAATTCATTATTTTCGCCTGGTAAAGATGTAATTTTTACAATCGGTGACCTTGATACTCCGAGGGAAAAAAAACTGAAATTCGAAATAAAACGTCTTAATTTTATATGTGAAAAACGGCGAAAAATTGTAAAGAAAACACAGGAAAAAAATAGAAGACTAACGAAAAAAGTGGATAACCTTACTTCTTTGTTAAACGATTTAAAAAATAAAAGTTTACTCGATAGTGACAAAAATATTATTAAGTTGTTTTGAAGATAGTTTGCCAATAAAAGAATTAATTTCAAGAAAAATTTACAAATTCTTTTAAGCTTCAATTCTGCAATAGTGAAAATTAACCTAACTTGCAATAAATTTATAAATTCTATAGAACAGTATATGGTTTGGAAAATGAAAAATGTGTACCACAAAGTGAGTTTAATTTTTATTTTATTTTTGTATATATTAGTGGCTATGTATACTATACTATAGTAAAATCTATTTTAAAATCTTTAAAATATGAAGATTTAGCAAACATTATAATTTCAAAGAAAAAAAAATGTTTATGTTCACTTATATTTGTAAAAGATCGCGGAGGTTTTATTTATCCATCTTCAGACTTAATTAAAATTTGTACAAAAAACGAAATTTTTTTAAACTTGTTTAAAGGTGAAAATCTTATTCTTATAGATTTAAATACAAAAGTTCAAATAATGTAGGTACATTGTTTTAAAAATGTTTCAAAATGTTTTTAATGATTTTTAAAATATATCAACTTGACAATTTTCCTAATAATAAAAATCACATTGTAGAAATTATAAGATCAATTACTGAAATTTACATTCAAATTAGAACACATCATTTTACAAAAATGTTTTAAGATCTAAAAACTATCAAAAGGCAGGTGTTAAATAAACTGACTATTTTTAAAGGGGAATAATCGTGATGGCATTGTTTTAAATAAATTAATAATTATTCTAGATATGTATTACTTTTTAATAAAAATTTGATTTATATGTAGTGTTTTATTTAAACTATACCTATATGTACTTACAAATATTTAAATGTTAAACAAAATAAACTTATTATTTTTTGAAAAGATACCGCTAGTACGAAATTATTTAATACCTTCCTGGCAGAATACATACCTTCTCTTGAACATTCCCTCGCGCCGCTACCCCGATTTTCGACACGCTAGTTTCATGTAAGCGATACAAGGCAAGTCTAATTTCAGTACATTTTGCATTTTTTAAATATCTGGTAATACTTCTAGGCAGTGGCGTAGCGTGGACTAATATAGACGTGGGCGAAGTCGCATCAGCAAGGCCCCTTTTCTTTCAGCAAATAAAATTTCTTTAAGATTTTAAGAATATGGATTAAGGGGTTTTTGGGGATGCTGAATCTATATAGGATTAAAAAATTTATCTAAAATAAGCCCTTATATCCTTTTGCCGAAAAATCGACCCCCTAAAACCGTACGCCAATGATAAATAAAAAAACTTACTATGGCAAATATTTCATTTCTTCAGCATACAATCACGGTGATTGAATCACCACCCAAATTTAAAGAAAATCGAATTATTAATAACAGATTGGATTTATGATAAGCGGGACAAATTATTAAACTAAACAAATGTGGCCCTTTTATCCGGCAAATGATGCACACACTATTCGATTAACTGTTTAATTCTACATAACTAAACTTAAATATTAATTAAGGAACAATCATAAATGTTCTAAAACACATACAGCAAATTAAATGACAGTTATTTAAATCGCGAAAGGTGATATCTACATTATCTACAAGTTGTAGGCCACAACTTGGTATTTGTTTAGAGTCCTAATAGGTGGCGTATTAAAGTGAAATCCATTGTAATCACTATTTCTGTGATTGTAATCGATTAAAATTGATTAATTATTAGTATATAAGGATCTTAAATTTACATATTTTTTAGGTTTTTATTTAATTTAAAAATAAACGGCGATTTGAAGTCTGATGGCATCGCATTTAAAGAGGCCTCGCGAGGCCCCTTTAAGTGCGAGGCCGTGGGCGAGGGCCCACTTCGCCTACGCCTAGCTACGCCACTGCTTCTAGGGATATTTTAGCAAATTTATGTCAAATATCAAAATATTCATTTGAATTTCGAATACAAATGCTTGTACACGTCGGATTTAGAATAATATTTATATCATCGATGATCATATGGTTAGCATGCTATATTTTGTGTTTACGACTAATCCATAATTATAATCCATAGATCCATAATCAACGTGTGGTGTTTGGCAGTGTTGCCGATTTGCAAGTAATTACTTACATTTGTAAGTATTTTGACTACTTGTAAGCACTATTGTAAGGATTAGTTGTTTGTAAGGATTTTGCAAGGATTTTAATTTTTTTACTTAAAGTAAAAAAACAAAATTCAAGCCGTAAAATGAAATAATTCGTTAAAAATGTTATAAATTATTTCATTTTACCCTACGTTGCCGGCTGTCCGATTTCGACTTGTCTGTTAACAAACAAGCCCTACTGTAGACGCTCCCTTAAATTAATCAAGGCAAATAAAATCTGGCAACCCTGCGACTGGCATAGAGCAAACCATAACCTTTATAACTTTATATACTTTTTCTATGCTTTATAATCTGTGCCATAACCCTAGAATTTAATTTAATGTTTAATAGTCTAAATGATTGGGTTGATCTATAGATTTGAAATTCCCGGGTAGTAAGATGATCTTTAATTTTTTCTCTTCCAGCAAGGCAAGAGGCGCAAAGTAGCATAATTTGTTCTTTCTAAAAGTTGATTTAATATAATAATTCCGTCCTAAGCGTAAAGGTCATATCTGCAATATTTTGTAGTAAAGGAGAGAAGGAAATTTTAAAAAACAATAAAAAATGGCTTTTGTGCTTAACTACCAAATATTGCAGATATAACGTTTTGTCCTAGAACGATAGTTTTTGGTAGTTAAGAAAAAACGTTATTCTTTATTGTTTTTTAAAATTAAAATTTTCTTCTGTCCTTCACTTCAAAATATTGCAGACACGACCTTTAAGCCTGATTTATATATTGCCTTCCTCCCGTAAAATATTAACAATACGAAAACCATGGTGATAAGGTTATATTATAAACATCACCATGGTTTTCGTATTGTTAATCTTTTACGGAAGGAAGGAAGGCAATATATAAATCAGGCTTTACGTTTAGGACGGCAGAATAAACCGAGTACATGTGCAAGGATTTTGTAAGGATTTTAATTTTTGGCAAGTAAAATGTAAGGATTTTGACGCACAAGAGTAATCAAATTTCTAAATTTGGATTGGCAACACTGGTGTTTGGTGCCATTACTTGCAAAGTAGGTGTAAAAACTCACAATCCACACAACAAGGTCTGTTCTTCCTCGATAAAATGCGAACGAAAATCAGGACTGTTATGCGCACCACGTGAACAGTTTAATGGCCACCATCTTTGATTTATTTGCCGCTGTTAATTTAAAAATAAAAAGTTGTTTAAAGTTTTAATGTAAACGCAAATGTTTGTTTTAAACAAAAGCTTTGACAAAAATATGTTAATTGGGGAATTTAATTAATAAATTATTAAAGATATCTTTATAAAAAGGTATTTTGAGCAAGTAAATATATATAGTTGTTTCAAGTTTTAACGTATACGTTTATAAACAGAAATGTGTTAATTAAAATAAACACAAGTACACTATTACTTGTGTAAATTAAACATTATTTTACAATATGGTAATCAATAATTATTTTAATAATTAATAATAATTATTATAACTTTTAATACATTTTCTTAAAAATTGATTATTGGCAATATTAAAATCTTTAAATAAAATTATCAATGATAAAAGTATTTTAGCAAGTAAAAATGGATGTACATGACCATAGTCGATGATTTTTTTAGAAATCAAAAGTTACGATAAAGTAATATAAATCAAAATAATTTAATTGCAAATTGATAATTTTTTAGTAAATTAATTTTTGAAAGTACGGAAATTATTAATGGTGAAGGTAGGATTTCTAGTGAGTAGATATATAAATAAAACAAAAAAATATAATATATATATTTTTAATAAAAAATAATCAAAATAAATATGAATAAACTTAAACATAAATAGTATTTTTTAAATACACTTAATTTTTTACATATAATTTAACAAAATAAATATATTTCTTCATGCTTATAAAATAATACAATTTAGCATATTTAAATTGATAAAAAATAATAATAAAAACCTAGGTAACATATTTAACCCCTAATTAGGGTTAACTAGTCAACTACTAACACAAAATTTAATAAAATACGTTTTAATAACAATACTTTCTAATAACAATTTCATATAAAATCCAATATTTAAAACTTAATTTTTACTACACTATAATAGTTTCCACCTTTTTCTTTGGTTTCCACTGGTTAAAAGGTATTGAATTGTATTTATATCACAGTTTTGGTAAAATTGATTAATTATTTATTAGTACATTTTTGTTTTTTTTTATTTTATTTTAAAAATTACCTTTGGAAAAAGGTCCAATGTCCAAATAAATAAAAAAAAATATGTAAAGGGCAGACATATTTTAATTTTTTGTTTTATCCTCTTCCTGTAACATTTGGCATTATTAGGCTGGTCATCCAATGGTTCAGAACTGCTAATTTAAAAATAACATTCATATTATTATGTTTTTTATTCCAAATAATTTATATTACCTTTTTGGCACAAGTTGCTTCATTTGGTAGATCTACAAACATTTCTAATGTTTCGGATCTGTAAATTTCATAGTTGGAAAATTAGTTAACAGATATAAAAAATAAATGGTATAATATTGTTAATTGAAGACTCTTCACTTAACAATAATATAATATTACCTTTCAGGCAAATGCAAAGTTGGAACAGCATTCTCAGTAAGGCCTCGGTAGGCTTTAGGTGGTGACAAACCATATAAAACTTTGTGTGGATGTCTTTCCAAATATTTTGGCTCAAAATGTATAGCTCAAATTCGATCTAAATAAATAATATACATTAATAATTATGTTTTGCACACATTGTAGTGGAACTTACAATACTTTGGTTTTTCCATTATAACCATTGAATTATCAGCAGCCTCAATCCATTCTTTGGCTTTTCTTTCTCAGTAAGGCCTCGGTAAGCTTTAGGTGGTGACAAACCATATAAAACTTCGTGTGGATGCCTTATCAAATATTTTGGCTCAAAATGTATAGCACAAATTCGATCTCAGTAAATAATAAACATTAATAATTATGTTTTGCACACATTGTAGTGGAACTTACGAGACTTTGGTTTTTCCATATTAACCATTGAATTATCAGCAGCCTCAATCCATTCTTTGGCTTTTATAGTTTATTTCAAAATAGGCACTAATTAGTGTTTATAAACAAGTACACTAGTACAGTCAACTGCCAATGACAAAATCAACACAAACAGGAGCGCACTCAACTGATTCACAGTGTGAATTTCACACTGGTAACGTCAATAAAACCAAACAGGAACACACAGGACCAAACTCAACTTATGTCAATAAAATCCAATAAACTAACAACGTTTAAAACGATTATTAATCTGTATAAATAGAGCACAAATCCAAAGCATAAAGATTGTAAACAACAAAAATGGCCGCCTTTAAACTGTTTGCAGTGGGTTGCCTACCTCCGTGATTTTTAGTATGCGCGAAACGAGGAAGAACAGACCTTGTTGTGTGGATTGTGTAAAAACTTATGTTCTGTGTGTAAAAAGTTTTTACTACAAAACTGTTAAGGTAAGTAAACGTATACGTTTTTAATAGTATATTATGTATCAAGTTTGATAAACGCCATTTTATACACGAATTTAATTTAGGCACGAGCGAGCTTGCGAGCGAGTTCTTAAATTAATGAGTGTATAGAAAAGTTTATAAACGATGTGCATACTATACTTTTTCTACGACAAATTATTACTTATTATTTAAATCAAATACATATTACATTTTATTTATTAAGAAGCTATTTTTTACATTCACACAAATCATACTTTAATTAAATTAAATTTCAAGTTAAATACCTACTAAAGACAAATAATAATAAAAAACTTTACCTAAAAACTAAAGCGATGTATTAGCTGCATTTTATTGCCCATTCTCCCTATTCTCCCTTAAATGAATGGTTGTTTTTTTGAGTCACAGAATGATTCTTCTGCAGAATGTCATTAATGTCATTCCGATGATTCCTTACTTTTGTTTGGAATCTTCAGAATGAGGCAGAGTGGGGGGATATTCCCCTGAAAAAATGCATTTAACAACCGCCAATTTTAAAAACTATTATGGTTTATAATAAACCCAGCAAGTAATAACTGTGCGTTATCCATATTTTTAAACTTTAAAAAGAAAATTGAGGTCACAATCCACACAATTGGTTATTAGGTTCATAAATTCCCCCACCTTTGGCAAAGTGACAGGGCTCAGAATGAATTTGCAAACGGGAATCATTCTGTTTTTATTCCATTCCACTTTCAATAAAATGCGCCTATTGTAAACAATACCATTAAGGTCAAATCACACTACGATATGTACTTGAATATAAAATTTCTTAATTTGTACGTATGTTTCTTTAATTTTAATTGAATTTTTTTATACAAATTAAACAATGCAATATGTTTGCATTTATTAAGCTCAATGATTTACGGTTTTTAAGAAAATAAAATACTGCGAAGAATCGTAGTGTAAGTTCAGCCTTATATGAGTAGGTATAAATTATACCGTATAATGGTCAGAGATAAGTTAATTTGAAATTAATAATTGTTAATTTGAAATTAATAATTTCACCAAAGAAGAAGAAGAAGAAATCACTTTTAGAATCTAAAATTTAGATTGTGTCTCGCTGCTGCTGTTGTTTTTATAAGACAATATTTCTAGTTTTTGATTTGCTTTAAGTATTTAGTTACTCTGGTAAGTTCTTTTTGTTTTTTTCTTGTTCTTGTTCTGTACAGATATATCGTATACGTATATACGTGTTATGAAGCGTGTTATGAAGCGTTAGATGATAACCACGTAAGTCCATAAAACAGTATACAAGTATGTATAAATCATAGATGATAAATCATATAAATGTATTGTTTGATATCAAAAAGCAAACAAATCAAACATTTGAAAACCTACTTGTTGAAGGTGTGGTTAAATAATGAAAAAGATAGCTTCATATTAGTAATCTCCTTGAAATTGATAGATATTATATACAGGGTGTCTTGAAAAATTTTATTTTCTGTATTTTAATTTTTTCGAATACCTATATATTTATTTATTTGTCCTTTAAATTTAAAAATATTATTAATTATATTCTATTTTTAGGGAGATGGCAAACGAAACGATGAATCAGTTTACCGACGAGCTTTTAAAAGAAAAAATATTCCACTGTAAGATTTGCGATGAACTTTGCCTGTCTGATAATTTCCTCGTAAAAGGGACAGGCAATGTGTGTGCAGAATGTTTTAAAGAAAAGTGTGGGGAGGAAATGAAGTCAAAGGCTGAATCAAACACGGGCCTCATCTTCATTTTAGCCAAATTGATGTTGCCTTGCAAGTTTCAGTTCAAAGGCTGCAACAAAAGGGTGGCATCTAAAAATTATTCCAAGCACATTTGTAGTTGTAGGTGTATTATCTTTGGTTGTGATTACAAAATTAAACAATGTCCAATGAAAAATTTTGAAGGTTGTGATTGGAGTGGAACCAATTTTGAAGTAAGTGGACATTTATTAAAAACACATGAAAAGCAAGTTATTAAAAGTGAAAATAATATTTTTAAAGTTGAAACCGTCTTGTCTGAACCCTTTAACATGAAGATATTATCTAATGATTACCAGAACTGCCTTTTAAAGACTTCGGTCGTCGATAATAAATTTTATTACGCTTTAAATCCAGTCGAAAAATCCGAAGAAAATGTGGAATATTCAGTGGTGCACAGAAACATTCAAAAACCAAAACATTCGGTGATAAAAACCATTGGTACTCTTACCAAACTGAATGGTATTTATAACGAACAAAACCTGAATGAAAACCCCAACGCAACTGTGGTAGACATTGATTCTTTGAAAAATCTTGCAGACGACAACAATATGATTTCAAACGAATTTAATTTAAATCCTATGGGAATAGATGAAAATATGCTGAAATTGTTGGAATGCCCTGTATGTATGAGCACAATGAGGCCCCCAATATATCAGTGCAACCGTGGACATAGCATTTGCATCATATGTCATGGAGAAGTAAATGCATGTCCTACATGTAAGGGAGAATGGAGCAATGTAAGAAACTTCTTAGTGGAAAATTTGACAGCCAACATAAAGTATACCTGCAAGTTTAAAAAATTGGGGTGCAAAGAAATTGCAGTTGAAGGCGAAATCAAGAAACACGAAGAAACTTGTTTGTTGAATAGTAATAAATCTGGATCTGACAAAATTGCCATTAAAGAAGAGACTACAAAATTTATGGGGGAGCAATTTGTAAAATGTAAATTTGATCTTCATGGATGCAAAGAAATTGGGATTAAAAGTGAAATGATAAAACATGAAGAATTGTGTGGGTTTTGCAAATACAAATGCCCGTTATGCCCACTATTTCTACAAGCAAATGTTATATCAAAACATGTCAAAGACAGTCATAATGGTCAAATATTAGGGAATAGGTTTAGTTATATTTTAAATTACTCTGGTATAATTAAATTAAAGGTATTTGATTCAAAATTATTCAGAATATCGAATTACTTTGATGATTCATATATATATTGGGTTGTCGAATTGATTTGCTCCAAAGAAGACCCCAGTTTGTATACTTATGAAATATTTTTTTCAAAAAATGCAAATGAAACGCCATTGGTATTTAAATCAACTTGTTTAAAAGAACAAACAAACAAACAAAGATTAAAGTTTCATGGCATTGCATATTGTGATTACACCCACTTTAAAGTGTCATTAAAAAAAGCCAATTAATTTAATGATATTTTAATATAATATTGTTAATACCTAGGTAATAGTTTTAACGTTTAAAGCCGGGTCTACAATTGTCGCATGGGTCCGATCGCAGAACATAAGCTTGCGCAAAGGACTTCGCAACATGGCGATGGAGCAAGGTTCTTTTGTCAGCTGGGTGCTTTGCGCAAGCTTATATTCTGCGATCTGCGACCTGCGACAATTGTAGACCCGGCTTAACATGTTTTGTATACTTTTTATACTTGAATAAAATAAATAAATGCAAGTACAATACTTTTTTATTTAAAAAAATGGAAATTAAGTCACATCACTCAGGATTAAAAAAAAAACAACCAATTATTTTTGTGTTGGAGTGACGTAACGCACCATTTTAGCTCCACAGAACATAAGGGGAATTAAAAGCGCTGTTGTCAAAAGTGGCAATATGTTGCCTGCATGCAGGCATTGATTGATTTTTAAATCTAGACTAGATGATGTGGTAGTCCTGGAAAATCGTTCCTAATAAAAAAAAATTCAATAAAATTTAGTATAGGGTCGTTTTGAGGGGTGGTGAATCAAGTGCAGTGCATGGATTTTTTATAAAGTCTATATTGCGGAAAATTGGAGTTGGAGGGGGGATTTTTTTTATGGAAAAACTATGTTGATTTTCGTTTTAAAGGTCTATACAGGGTGTTTCATAATATATGCGCAGGACTTCAGGATGTGATAGCTCATCCAAAAAGATGAAAAAAGTCGCTATTAAGTTACGCTCTAAAATGCACAATTTTCGAGATACAGGGTATTGAAATTTTAGAAAAAAATTCGTTTTTTTCGAATATCTCCGGAACCGTTTATCGTACAAAAAACAGCTTTTGTAAGCATTTTCTACTCAAAATAAGCTATGTTTTGTGCTAGAAAAAAATTTTTTTTCCTCATAATTGGTGGAGATTTTGAAGGGGTAGCGGGTGTTTTTCTCCTCAACTTCTACGCGCCTGAAAAAAGTACGGTTTTGAGAGGCCCATTCGAACCGCCAATGTTTTCTACACAAAAAAGGTACTCCTGGTCATAAGCTCTAAAGTTGACCGTTTTCGAGAAAAATCAACTTTTATGTTTAAAAACATGGTCAATTTAAAAAAAAATATATTTTTTTTACTAATTAAACAAAATTTATTTTAACGTTAGGACAAGTAACAAAACCAAACCATAATTGCAAAATAAAAAATGATTTAAAAGTTGTCTTTGCTAATTCTCCAAACCGTAAAGGTAACGCATTTCGCACATTTCAGCATTTGAGTAAAAAATCATTTTTTATTTTTTTTTTAATATTGCAATTATCGTTTGGTTTTGTTACTTTTTCTAACGTTAAAATAAATTTTGTTTAATTAGCAATAAATTTTTTTTTTCAAAAAATTGACCATGTTTTTAAACATAAAAGTTGATTTTTCTCGAAAACGGTCAACTTTAGAGCTTATGACCAAGAGTACCTTTTTTCTGTAGAAAACATTGGCGGTTCGAATGGGCCTCTCAAAACCGTACTTTTTTCAGGGGCGTTGAAGTTGAGGAGAAAAACACCCGCTACCCCTTCAAAATCTCCACCAATTATGAGTAAAAAAAATTTTTTTCTGGCACAAAACATAGCTTATTATGAGTAGAAAATGCTTACAAAAGCTGTTTTCTGTACGATAAACGGTTCCAGAGATAATCTAAAAAAACGATTTTTTTTCTAAAATTTCAACACCCTGTATCTGGAAAATTGTGCATTTTAGAGGGTAAGTTAATAGCGACTTTTTTCATCTTTTTGTATGAGCTATCACATCCTGAAGTCCTGCGCATATATTATGAAACACCCTGTATTTTCATCCAAATCGGAGACCCAAAGTCGAAAAACGCGATTTTTTATTCGATGTGGCTCCCGTCCCGAGGCGGGACGTCACACACTGTAAATCCGTTTTTATTCCCCGAGATTTTATAATTTGTGTCAAGCTCGATGGCTTAGATGGTAGGGCGGTCGCTTGGCATGCGAGAGGTACCGGGTTCGATCCCACTAGAATTTGTCAAACTTTTTTTATTTTTTTTATTTTATAAATTTGTTGTTTTTTTGTTAAAAAGTGTTTTATTTTTGTCGTAACATAAATTTGCCCATTTTAGTTGGGTTTTTTGCTCAATGGGGCGGGGGGGGCCCAATGGGGCGGGGTCGGTTGGGTTGTGTTGTTGAGTTTGGGTTGGTTTGGTTTTATGACGTAACTAAAGTGCCCTTAACATGTATACAGGTACAATTTATTATTATTATTATTTTATTATAACATAACAAATCTTAAAATTATGACGTCAATCGGGACTGAACTTGGGTCCCGCCTCGGGACGGGAGCCACAGCGTTTTTTATTACTTAAATGTTAATTTTATTTCAAAGTTTTTTCATGGCTAACTTGATAAAATAATTTTTTGTAATTATTGCAATAATAATAAATAAAATGCACATGCATTTTTAATTTGGATACAAAATCTTTCCTAATAGAAAAATCCAGTGCCGTGCATAGATTTTTTTAAATGTTTATATTACGGAAAATTGGAGTTGGAGGAGGGGGGTTAACCCATAATTATGGAAAAACTATGTCGATTTTTGTTTTCTACGCCTTAAAAACTATAGTTTCCATATTTTTTAAAAAGTTTATATTACGGAGTTGAGTGGGTATTTTTTTATGGAAAATCTATGTCGCCTTAAAAACTATTGGTTTCTATATTTTCATCGAAATCGGAGACCCAAAGTTTCAGGCAAAAAACGCGATTTTTTATCACTTAAATGTTAATTTCATTTCAAAGCTTTGAAATGAAATTAACATTGAAGTGAAAAATGCGATTTTTTATTACTTAAATGTTAATTTCAATTCAAATTTTTTTCATGGCTAACTTGATAAAATAAATTTTTGTAAATATTAATTATTGTGCATTTTTAATTTGCCTACAACATTGTTCCTAATAGAAATTTTCAATAAAATTTAGTATAGGGCCGTTTTGAGGGGTGAATCCAGTGCCATGCATAGATTTTTTTAAATGTTTATATTTATGGAAAAACTATGTCGATATTTTTTTAAAAAGTTTAAATTACGAAGAATTTGAGTTGGAGGGGGGATTTTTTTATGGATAAATTAATCATATCAATTTTCTTTTTATGCGCCTTAAAAACATTGGTTTCTATATTTTCATGCACATCGGAGACCCAAAGTTTCAGTCGAAAAACGCGATTTTTTTCATGGCCAACCTGATAAAATAAATTTTTGTAAATATTATTTATTGTGCATTTTTAATTTGGCTACAAAATCGTTCCTAATAACAAATTTTTCAATAAAATTTAGTATCGGGTCGTTTTGAGGGGTGGTGAAACCAGTGCCGTGCATAGATTTTTTAAAAGTTTATATTACAGAAAATTGGAGTTGGAGGGGAAAACTATGTCAATTTTCGTTTTCTACGCCTTAAAAACCATAAGTTTCTATATTTTTATCCAAATCGGAGACCCAAAGTTTCGCTCGAAAAACGCGATATTTTGTAACGGTGGAATTTTGTCTAGAAAATCGAAAGTTGTCGTAGATTTTTTAACAACGAAAAACGAGATTTTTTATTACTTAAATTTATAAATGTTAATTTCATTTTAAAGTTTTTTCATGGCTAACTTGATAAAATAAATTTTTGTAAATATTAATTATTGTGTATTTTTAATTTGGCTACAAAATCGTTCCTTATTTAAATTTTTCAATAAAATTTAGTATAGGGTCGTTTTGAGAGGTGGTGAATCCAGTGCCGCGCATAGATTTTTTGTTTTAAGTTTATATTGCGTTTTTTATTTTTCAAAACTAAGCATTTATTTTTCAAAACTACCATGTTATAAGTTAAATTTAGTATAGGGTCGTTTTGAGGGGTGGTGAATCCAGTGCCGTGCATAGATTTTTTTTAAGTTTATATTACGGAAAATTGGTGTTGGAGGAGGGCTTTTTATGGAAAAATTATATCGATTTTCGTTTTATGCGCCTTAAAAACTACTGCTTTCTATATTTTCATCCAAGTCGGAGACCCAAAGTTTCAGTCAAAAAACGCGATTTTTTATTACTTTTAAAAATGTTAATTTCACTTCAAAGTTTTTTCATGGCTAACCTGATAAAATAAATTTTTGTAAATATTATTTATTTTGCATTTTTAATTTGGCTATAAAATCGTTTCTAATAACAAATTTTTCAATAAAATTTAGTATAGGGTCGTTTTTAGGGGTGGTGAAGCCAGTGCCGTGCATGGATTTTTTAAAGTTTATATTGCGTTTTTAATTTTTCAAAACTAAGCATAAGAATAGCATATTACTTATATAAGTTAAATTTAGTACCTATACACAGCAAACGAAAAATTATAGAAGTGTATAGGATGACTCCGCGTTTGAATATCAAATCTTAAAGTTTTATCATAACTGTATTGAATCGTGCTTTGTTTTTATATTTTTCGGCTCTATACCTATGCACGACTATATTTAAAGTCAAACTCAATGGTGTCTTACAAGATACATTATTTTGATTTTCTATATTCAACAGAGGAGTAGAAACTCGACCCTGTCGAATGGTGCAGTCATATATGCATATATGGTGTTCTTTGCATATATGTCTCTAGAAATTATTAAAAAAGGGTTCAGTCCAATGGTGCAGCAACTTCGGATTCCTATTCTCCTCAGAGACATAGAAACTCAAGCTTTTCGAATTTTACTGGCAATGATTTTCGTTAATGTCCCCGAGAATTATACAAAAACAGCGCAATGCAATATCGCAACGGTTTCGACTTCTCTTTACTCTACCAAGTTATAGAAACTGGAGTCTCTCTAATACTGTTCTAGTCAATATTTCTGAGAGTATAAAAAGAGAGTGTAATATTGCAAGAAGTTTTGATCTTTTGATGGATGCAAGTAGTTTGAATTTTCTCCTTTCTGCATATGATTTTGTTGAAAATAGTTCCTTTCTTTGGTTTCTTTGTCTGATTTTTAGTTACCGCGTAACAACCCAGCTAGCACGATACATAACACGAGCTCGTGCGATGTTCTGTTTAAGTCGCATGAATACCTGTCGAATAAAGTTATTTAAAAACCTTAAGGTTATATTGCAGAAATATTCTTTTTTAATATTACGGATTGATGTAATATTATGTAAACTATGTTAATTTAAAATAAAGGAAATTAGACTATGATTTAAAATAAGCTTTAATTACTATTTAGAATAAAACAATCAAACAAAAACTAAAGTCTAGTGT